TCAGAGGACACAGCTGGCTGTGCCGTGGGTCAGGCTTGCAGCGTGATGTTGGAGAGGGAGTCTCCTGTCAGTGCAAGCTGAGTTCACAAGATTATTTTTGATGATCACATCACACAGGGGGCTCAAGTAGAACCTTAAAGCTTCTCCAATTGGAGAACTTTACCTTCTGGTGCCTGCCTAGATGCCAATTCTGATTCAGTTGGCCTATTCTCAGATTGGGTCCTCTGGAGGGTAAAGATGAGGAAGATGCATCCAAATTCCTCCTCTTTGTCTCAGTTCCTAAATTCCCAGTCCCTGCTTAATAAACCAAAGTCACCCAGAGTCAGAGACAGCTTTTTAGGGACTCAGACTAATACTAAGCCTGACTCTCCTGGAAAGGGTAGGCTTGGGGTAAAAGTAATGCAGGTGTTATCCCACTGAAGGGCTTCCAGTGGGATAGCCCTCTGAAAAGTCCCTTTTGATTTTAGGGCCAATGAGTCCGACAGATAGCCTTCTATGTGTACCTACTGCTGGCATCTGTGAAAGCCCACCGTGTTGCCAGGGGCCCCATCGGTAGCCAACCCTGATGTGCTCTCTTATGACTCCCATCACAGGTCACATTCTGCTCCACTGAGCATTTAAGATATAATCCCTGTGGACAGACCTGACTGCCACAAAAGCAGGACCCTCCCATCCTCTGTCTATCCCTCAGATATAGGAGCCACACATGGATGTTGTCTTGGCTTTAGTCCAATTTCCTGTATCACCTGTGAACCCTGTCAACACACTTCCACTATGAACAGAGGCACAAATCTCCAGAGACTAGGGCAAGTTCCCCTAAAGAATGCCAAGGCTGGATTTTTCCCTATCCCAGGGAATGTTCACATTCCTGTATCTGATGTCTGGTTAGACCAATCAAGCGTGGATTTTTCTAAAAACCTCACTGTGTAAAGTCTGTGATTTCAGCTCTGCTACCTGTTGGCTGAACTCATTGAATTTGTCTAAACCTCTGGGCTCTGGACTTTCAGACAGCCTCTCCAAATCCCCTGAATGTTCTTCCATGGCCCTCAAGTATGTTCTTTTGTAGGTTTACGGTCATTGCTGAAGCTGCTTCTATTTAGGAATGTCTTGGAATTCTTTTGGGAAACGTTTTCTAATACTCATCCAAGATCTTCACTTTCCTTCGTGTGTGGACTTGATTCTACCCTGCGAACAGCGTTTGGCACAGTTGGTCATGCCCTCCTTTTTGAAACATTCTCTTCTCTTGGCTCTAGGATGCTATACTCTCCCAGGTTTACTTCCTACCTGTGTGGTCACTCCTGTTCCCCATTCAGGCTTATCTCCCTCTACTCACTAAATACTGCAGACCCTCAAGTCTCTATTCTAGGTCTGTTTTTCCTTACACTCTTTATTCTCTCCCAGGGTGATTTCGTCAACAGGCCCCCATGCTTCAAATACCATCTGTGTACATATGACTCACACATTTTTGCCTCCAGCTCTGACCTTTAATTTAGAGCTCCAGATCGCATTTTTGACTACATACTTTTCTGGAGTATATCTCAAGCTCAAGTTGCCCCAGATATATTTCCCCCCTAAAGCTATTCTTTTTCCATTGTGTCTGGAACCCGTAAACATTACTGTCATCCACCCTATCATGCAAGCCAAAGATTTGTGGTCATTCTTGACAGTTCTTTCTCCTTTATTCCCCATATCCAAGCCATCAACAGATTTTATCTGTAGCTATTTCAAGTAATTATCTCTTTAATCACATCTGTCTATCTTCACTGTCAGCACCTGAGTCTAAGCAACTATCATCTCCCATCTGAATGCCTGCAGTGATCTCAAAACTCATTTCACCAATCCACTTTGGTTCCACACTAAAGCTGGAATGATCTGTTGGAAATACAAATCTGACCATATCATTGCTCCTTGAATAACACTTAAATGGTGCCCTGTGTTCCTTAGGTTAAAGAACACAAGCCCTCATTGGGGCCATAATATCCTGTGTGGACTGATGCATGATGCCCTCTCCAGCTTCTTTCTCATCCTTCCCTCCTTGCTTTCTTGCCTTGGTTATACTACATTTCTTTTTTTTTTTTTTTAAGCACAACAGGATACTTGCCCCATTGCACAGCTTTAGCCAAGGCTATTTCTCCTGCTGCTCCCATATGTTGCTTTCATGATCCCTTTGCCTGGTTACAGCCTTTCTTCCTTTGGAGCTCACCCCTATTGGGGGTGAATTGCTCCAGGAAGCAATTCATTTTTTTAAATTATGCAAGTATCTATTTACAAGTGTCATGTGCTTCTCTGTTCAAACCTTAACAGGGTTCAAGTTTGCTGTTACTGATTCTGGATTTATTCATTGTATTCCTCTACCCCCAACCACGACTAATTGTAGACTCTTTGAGAGCAGGAACTGTACCTGTTTTGCTCACCAGTGTATCACCAAATGCCTGGCACATAGTGGGTATTTATGATCACTTACTGAAGGAATGAAGTATGAGTCTCATTAGACCAAGCTAATCGCATTGTTCCTAGAGTAATAGAATCCTCTCTAGGGGCTCTTTGCCATTGCACTCCTAGTCTCTAGAACAGGACCTGGTAGCAGGCACACTGAGTAAAATTAGGCTGTGCTAATGAGTGAATGCCCTAGAGACAACCATTCCTCCAAATCTAAATAAAAAGACTCCATCAATATTGAAGAAATTTGGATCTGAGATTCTCCCCTTCCTTTATGCTTGCTACATTGTGGATTAGCCACATCTCAGAAATCATGTCTCCAGCCTGGAAAATGGGGGCTGCATGGGAGCTACTCAGAACCAGCCCTGGTCCCCCCATCCCGGAATGTCAGACCAGCCCTGCTAAAGAGGTGGTGGACAACTCTTTCAGGAATTCTCTAGGCTGTAGATGAGCAGAGTCTACTCAGTCAGCCCTGGAATTTGATGAGTTGGTTTTGCCATTAGCTTGTGAAAGGAATGAATAAAATTCCTTATCCATAAGTCCTTCTAGGAACAGAATCTCTGACTCTACAGACAGCATAGTTTAGCACACAGCTCATGGCCACTCAGTGGCAAAATAACGAATGATTGAATGGATAAATAAAGCACACAACTGTGGTTCACTCACCCTCATATTACATTATAATTATCTGTTAAGCAGCAATGATGAGGAGGGAGGCCTGTGCTAGACACTGGCATTAGAGAAATGAATAGGGTGACTTAGCATTCTCACTAGAGACTTGACCAAGCAAACCCAACATGTCTAAGTTACAACAGCTTGGGGAAAGTGCTCTGAGAGAGGAAACACTTAATGCTCTTAAGCAAAAAAAAAAGGGGGTGCATCAATGTGCTGGAGGGCTTAAACATCAGTGCATTTGGGGAATCAGGACCATAGCTTTTGGGTAGTAGCATTCCTTCAACTCAAGACTCCGCTGAGTTCTATGAACACATGACTTAAAAAAGGAGAAAACTCAATTTGCTTCCATGAGAACAAATGTGTGTGGGCAGAGACGTCATCCCCTTAGCTAAACACTAAACAACCACAAACATTTAGGGAGCCCTATTACCAGTCAGAGTCTGTGCTAACATGGGAAAACTAAGATAAACGAGACATAATCTTGCCCCTGAGGAGTTTGCAGACCACTGGAGGAGACAGATGTGAAAACAAATAACTAATAATATTGGTGCATTGTAGTAAGAGATATTGTGAGGCATGTGCAAAGTGTTATAAAGTGTTAATAGAATTTAGAGAAGAGGGAGAAACTCTCCCAGGGGCACAGACTCAGAGAAAGTGTATTGGCTGATGAAGAATGAGCTGATGTAGATGTGGAAGAAAAGAAGGAATGAGTTAGGAAAAGGGTGGTTTAGACTTTTAAGCTGCCTCACACTTAAAGGCTGGCACCAATGGGAATATAAACAGAAGCAGGAGGAAATTCACTTAGGGTGCTGGTAACCCCTGGACCACTCTCTAGAATGTCTGAAATCAGATGTTGCCTCTAATCCCTAGTACATAGCATGAAGACACTGGTTTTTGGCATTGTTTGCCTGCTTACTTTGCTATGGCATAAGCAGAATGGTTGTTTTAGGGAGAAAGGATTGAGGAACTAGACGACTTGAGAGCTGGATTCAGGGGTTCTGACCATTGAGGTCTAAAATTGGAATCACAAAACCTGTGGAATTCTGGCCCTTACCTTTATCAGCCATGTGACTTTCAGCAACTTCGCTTGGTTTTCTCATCTATAAAATGGGAAAATCAATATCTCATCTATCTTTGGGAATGTTTGTGAGGATTGACCAGGCCAGATCCATGAAGTTACCCAGCACAGGGCTAAGGATGTAGTGAGTGGCCAGTTACCTGCCTCCTCTACTGAGGATTATGTCAGCAAGTTAACACCTGGTAGAGTATGTTGCCTTAGTATTAAATGCTAAAAATGGAATTCATCAGATTTAAGTGTTTTTTTGAACCCAAGGTGTATTCAAGTTCCCTTAAATATACAAACTTTTTACCCTACCGTTTGTTTCCTATAAAGAACAAAACAAAAACCTCTTTTTATCTTTAAAAATCTAGTGATTTAAATTGTGTTGCCCCAACATAAAGCTATTATTTCCATCATTTACCTAAAAGAATAATGTAGGGTTAGGTATAATTCCTCAAGCCCAGGAAATGTTCCATGGTTTGATCTTACAAACAAAGCAATATGAGAGAGAGAGAAAAATCTTAACTTGATTTGCCTTAAGGAAAAGGATGCTTCAACACAGGTACCCAGGTGAGAACCTTGGGCAACTCACTTAATTTCTCTGCACGTCAGTTTCTTCATCTCAGAAGAATGTAATGATCATCCCAACCTCACAAGGAATTGATCCTCAAAAGTTATTACATGGGACAATGTATGTGATGCCCTTAGCACAGTGCCTGGCACATAGTGAGCACTCAACTAAAGGAAACTGTTGTCATTATGATGATTGTCTAGTCACATATGTGGGTAGCTTTCAACATTGCTGTCCTTCCCTTTCCCCTCCTAGGTGCCTCCACTCAGAATTCTAACACTGTGGAGCCAGAGAAGCAGGTGGACAACACCGTGAAGATGGCTGGCGTGATCGCTGGCCTCCTCATGTTCATCATCATTCTCCTAGGTGTGATGCTCACCATCAAAAGGAGGTGAGTCTGCTGCTGCCCGGAAGACTCTGCTGACCCGCAGTGACCCCATCACTGCTGTGTGGCCAGGATTTTGCTCCGTTAATCATCGTCCAGCAGGGATCTTCTGATACAACCATTGAGGTCCTGAAATAAGTGGGCCAGCTGTGGTTCATTGTGTTGCTGTTTGAAGGGTGCATGCTGCCTGCTTGGCAGGTGGTCCTGAGGTGGCCAGTTTCTTATGGGCCAGTGGTCCCTATGACTGGGTCACTGCGATGTGCCATGGGATTCCATGTATCACGAATTGAGTCTTTTAGGAGTTAACTGCTGTGTTGCAATCAATCATGTCATCAGGATAGCTCGGGAGCCCCAGGAACATAGATGAGTCCAGAAACACAGTTGCAGGAAAGTAGTGTTTTACCATTCTCACCTCCATTTGCCCATGATTTCCATTGGTCAAATAATAGCATCCCAGGCCGCCCTCTCCATGAGAGATAAAGCCTACAATGGTATAAGAGTTCCCAATTACAAGTCCTATTACAGGCTCTGTACTATGCCCTGTCCCACGAAACCTTCCCAGCAGGGTTGCTGTTGCTTGTCACCTCTCAACAGCATGTCTCCCTGGACTCCTCTGGCCAGCTACCAGTTTGCTCATACTGTGTGTTTTCTCCAGTTGCATTTCTCATAAAAGCAAGCATGCAGATTCCTCCCTTATTCCTAAGATTTACTACACCAGCATCTTCTGTTTAAGAGGCATTCACAAGGCTTGAGGATAACACAAGGAAATTACAGAGAGGGAAGAAAATACAAAGGGTAAATATCAGCTATCCCTGTCCCCAGGGTGCACTGGTTATTCCTTTAAACAGGGAGTCTTACTCACCCCTCTCCTTAGCCCCTGCCTGCCACAATGCTAACACATCTACTTCCCACCTCCACGTCTTCTCAGTTTCAATGCCAGGACCCCAACCTTAGTCTCTACCTTCCCACTCCTCAGTCTGTCATAGCAAACAAAACATTTATCCACATTATAATACTATGTGGTGTATTGTGCCCTGCTCCCAGGCAAAAAAGCCTTCTACATTATTAACCAAACCAACACCTCAGCCTGAAACTCTGGGTTTGCTTATGCACAAAGTTCAGGGCAACCCCAAGAACAAGGGCTGGGAACTTGCTTCCATCTGTAGGATTAAAAATGCTCATCAAATGTGTTTCCCACCAAAACAAAGAGACAGAGTACCCCTGACAACTAATTCCAGCGTCTACCTTAGGAACCACATGAATATAAAATGCAGAATTTTTTTTAAAAAAAAGCAGTATCCCCATTTCCAGCGATCAGTGATTTAGAAATACTAGGGTCCAGTCAACCCTCTCTTGACTATGCAAGCACCAGGATGTCCCTCTGTCTCTTTCTCATGATTCTGCTTTGGATCAGTTGTACCTGCTTCTGGCCAGGACATTATACTGTGAGGACATCTTTTCTTGACATTTATTGTCTAATAGGATCATGTCTTGCCTCAAGCTCCCAGCAGAATGGCTTAAGAGCTAAGGTTCTCCTCCAGGCTCTGATGTTCTGGTTGGAGAAATGAGCGGTAACAGAAGGTACTATGTTAATATTGGAGGTGAAGAGCCCTCAAAGGGTGAAGGTCAACACTACATTGTCATATCACCATCATCACTGATAACACATGGCCACATTATATGTCCTGGTGACTAGTCTGTTGCTATTACATGGGGTAGTATATGATTTTTGATTTCCCTGGGGGAGTAAGCACGTTGTACGTGTAAGATCATTGAAATGTTTCTTAGAATTACAGATGTATTAGAGGCAGAGGTGAGTTTGGGATTGTCCACCCAAATTAATGGAACTGAATACCTCTTTGGTAGACCTGGAATTTTCTTATTCTTTGCCACTGATTTGTAAATCAGATACGCTCTTCCAATTTTGCTCTTTCTAAAGCCTGGCTTAACCCACGTCACCATCGTCTGTGAGATTGTGAAGAAATTTCACTTCCTTCTCACAGCTATTTCTGAAACGTGTGACTTTTTGGGAGGGAGGAAAAGGCTTTATGTTTCCAGGGTGGGAGCAACTATAAAATGAGTCCTTTGTGGTAGTTTTAACCTCTTCTGAGTATCTTTATCATCTCTCATGTCTATCAAAACTGTCCATCAGACCCAATCAACAGGCATCACATGATCACCATTTCTCCCCAGGAGGCAAAACCTGGGCATTGCATGTTGTGGGGTGCTACTCAGTGTTTACATATATGGCATCTTTTGAAGAAACTAAGACATTTTGTTGGCCTAGTTGATTGGAACAGTTTACAGATGGGAGGGGAGGGTAGGAGGAGAAAAGGAGAAAATGGGGAGGAAGAGAGAAATTGCACATAGGACTGCACTCTTTCCACTTACCTACAATCCCTTCCTGTGTCTAGAGATGCCCCAAAGGAAAGCAAAATTCTGTGCACCTCTTCTTTCTCAGCTACCCCCAGCTGCATATATATATATATATATATATATATATATCACTGATTAATTGAGTCTGCTACCAACTTACTGTTGGCCAGAATACGATCTACATCTACCTCAAAGGAAGATGTATTCAAGTCAAAGAAACTTCCAAGTAACAGGCTTATCACCATAGCTCAGGATACTACATATGTAGTAAAACATACCTCCTTAACATCTCCTCAGTGTCCTATCATCACCTACAGTGCTTGGACTCAGGAGTTCACAGAGGCCAACACTTGCTGCAACCCGTCCACTGGCTTAAGTTTGCCTGGGTCTTCTCCCTGCCTTCCCTGGGCATGGACATGGTCGCTTTCTGGTTTTTTCCTACTCCTAATATGTTCAACTGACTCAAAGCCTCCCTAAAGCTATAGCCACAGATGTTTCCAGCAAACATAAGATGTCCCTAGCTTCTCCCCCTGAAGGTTTGTCATTATTGACTTTAGAGCTTCCTTGCCACTCTCCAAAGAGTCCTTCTCTTCCTATTAGGGGTTTCCTTTTATGACACAGAACTAGAAGACAGACAGAGAATGGGCTTGAGATCCAAGGACGAAGGGAATGGTTTAATGAAAAAAGCTTAATTAATGTATATTTAGATAACTGAAAACAAAATACAGGAGGGAAAAGAGAGAATATCAACAAAACCTGAGAGGTGTTTTGTTGTTGCTTGGTTTTGTTTTGTAATGGGGGGAGGGAGATCTTGAGAAATGAAAAGGAGAAAGGGATATGAGATGTTGGTGGGTGATTTAAATGGGATTCTCTTATAGTTTGAAAGAGAAGTTAAAGTTTAGAATTCTTTTTGCATTATCTTTGGCTGTTTGAACTGGGCTATATTGAATGTGGAACCATATGGAATTAGGATTGCATGGACATACACAGGATGATATGAACATTATAAGAAGGGATCCTGGAGCCCCTCACTGACAGAGTTAACTACCAGTGTGGTTTTAGCCACACCAGCTACACAATATCGATCCTTCTGCTGTCACTAGATAGTGACTCCATCTTTTTCTTCTGGATCTGTTGATCACATCTAGAGATCACATCTGAATGTTCTGTAATTGGTACCCCATGTCATTATGTAGTAAAACATACCTCCTTTTCATGAGCACCATGTTAAGTCCTGACATCGAGAGAGACCTTCATCACTAACTCATCACTGCGGTCCTGATCATCTTCATTCCTTGCCTCCTCCCCTTAGAACTGTTAGACATCCTCCCCACTCCTCCAAAATCAGCAGTCAAAAGGTTGCATGACCAACTCTATGTTTTCTTAACTTCATACCATGGGGCACTTTGTGCCTTTCATGCAAATTAAGGTGAAAAGATCAAGTCTTATTGCCTTAACCAGCATGTCTCAGTAGTTGAAGGTGTTCATTAGCCACTCACATACAAGAAGGTCTACAATTCAATGTTTGTTTGTGGAGCATGAAATTGTATGTATGCACACACAAGTTTCATATAGTTCAGTTTTATCCCTTGGGACACACTTCCTGGAGTCTGAACATGGTCCCTTAAAACTTAAAGAATGGCCATGCGCTTATGCATAGGGAAACAACAAAGCCAAGTTATGCAGGACTTTTCACAAGATCTGCACCCCTGGACTTGTCTGGATCCTACACTAACCTGTCCACCACATTTTAATTTTCAAATAAGAACTAGGAAATTTTAGGGAGGTGTATTCAAAGTTGGTACCATGCATGGTTCTAGCCAGACCCTATCTTCTCCCCTGCTCCCCTGCCCAGCTCTTCCTAGTCCAGCCTGAACTCTGCCAAACTTTCCTTGCCTGTCCAAATGGAAAATTTTGTTCCAAGAGTGTGTTTGGAGTGTCTTGAGTATAAATATGAATGTCTATTCTGACATTTTATATGCATCTCTGGTTATACATCAATTTTCTGTGACTTGTACCTGCCCTCCAGTAGCTCCCAGTCTAATGGATGCACACCTTGTAGCTGTGGACAGAGCATCAGAAAAACTGGCTCCAAATTTTTAGTCCTGTTTATTTGCTGTTAACCTTGGAGAAGCAACTTAACAAATCTCAGCCTTTGCTTTCCCTTCTACGAAAGGTAGCCAGTTTTATGGGGCTATTCTAAAGATCAAATGAGCTAATTATTGAAATAGGCTTTGTTCCCTGAACCTGCCTAAGGAATTGCAATGCGCAGTATCTATAGAAACATTCATCTCCACATGACCATCAACTGTACCAAGCCAGCTCCAAACCCATTACTAATATGCTAATGGCAGGGTTGCAATCAATGCTCACACACTGACATAATTTGCATCATTTTTCATTTAAACTGCAGCCATATTCTGATTTTAATCTTCCTAATAATCATAGTAGGGTAGGTCTGTTGTTTGTTTGAAAAGAAGAAACTGAAGTTCAAAAAGATCATGTGAGTTGGTGAAGGTTTTGGGCAGAGTCGATGTGGAAACCCAGTCTCTGTGTCTCTAGAGCTCATGCTGCTAACTTCTACTCTGTCAGTCCATGGAGACTGACAGGAAATAAGCAAATCCTGAACT